TAAAGTATGATAGGTGGTAGGAGAGGGCTTGTCGGGAAGTAGAACACAAGTGTGCTTTTGTGAAACTTCTCATCTCCTAGTTGGGCTGCCCTCCATGGAAAAAGTAGGGTTTTCTTCTGTTATTTGAGACAGGGTCTCACTATGTAGCCCTAGCCCTGACTGGCCTAGAATTCACTATGTAGGCTATTCTGCCTCCAGAGCACTGGGATTAAGGGTGTGTACTACCACACCTGGTTGATCTACTGAACTTCTACATAAAAGAGCTGCCCCTGACATTTTCAGTAAGGTGCAGAACTGACTTCTGACTGGTACTTTCCAGGAAGGCCTGATATACTAGACTGAAGGAGACAAAGCAATTAAGGAAGTTCAACCAGACTTGGAGGTGCACACCTTTGTGAGCGACCAGACATGGTTGCTAGGAATTTAACTCAGGTCCTCTTAATCTTATGTTTTGTTTGTTTGTTTGTTTTGGTCTTTTTGAGGCAGGGTCTTCCTGTAGCCCCAGCTGGCCTGGAACTCAGAGATCCACCTGCCTCTTGTCTCCCAAGTGGGATTAAAGGCGTGAACCACCATGCCTGGCACGGAGGTCAGAGAGGGCATCAGATTCCCATCCTCTTTTATGTGTATGAGTGTTATGCTGCATGTAAGTGTACCATATCATGTAATGCTCTCGGAGGTCAGAAGAGGGCCTCGGATCCCCAGGAGTTACAGATGGTTGTTAGTCGTCATGTGGCTCCTGGGATTCGAACCTGGGTCTTCTGCAAGAGCAGCCAGTGCTGAGCCATCTCTCCAGCCCCAAAGTCTTTATTTTGAGACAGGTCACATTGTAGCCCTGACTGGCCTCAAACTCAAAGAGATTCATGCCTGTCTCTGCCTCCTGTGTGATTTAAAGGTATTCACCAGGTCTGGCTTAAAAGTACTTAATTTTTTCGAGACAGGCTCTTCCTCTACCCCAGCGGGAACTCACTATGTAGAGTTCTGCCCGAGTGCTAAGGGTAAAGGTGTTTACCACCTGCCTAGTCCTAAAAGTCTTTTTAAAAATTAAAGAGAAAGTAAGCGCACACTTAATGGGTAACACACACTTTTAATCCCAGCACTGTGGCAGAGGCAGGCTGAGCTCTGAGTCAGAGGCTACACAGTGAGACCCTGTCTCAAAAACCAAACCAAAATTGGCCCTTAATCAAGGCCAACAGTTTGTTGAAGCTGTTGGTTTCAAGCAGGTGCCTAAAGAAATGTCTTTCTATGGTCTGTTGGCCATTTCAGAAATTTGGAAATGTAATGGTCAATTCAGTAAAAAGAAACATGGGGGAAGAAATTGCCTGGCTTGGTGGCGCACCCAGGAGCGCACCTCCAGCACTCAGGAGGTAGAGGCAGGTGGATCTCTGAGTTCAAGGACAGCCTGGTCTACATAGTGAATTGCAGGCCAGCTGGGGCTACAAGGAGACCCTGTCTCAAAAAGACACCCCCCCCAAGAAAATAAATAAGCTAATGTGTAATTGATATACTGATTGAAGAAAAATGTCAAGAGTAGGGAGTGTTTCTGAAATGAGAAACAAGGTGCCCAGACAGTACCAGTCCCACAGCACAGTCCTCTGCCGGTCAAAGCTAATGTGTGAGGTGGGGCTGAAAAGGAAGAAATAAGGTTGACACTGTTACAAATAATGTTTGTAGAAATCCCAAAAGAATAAGCATCCTGTGAGGTTGTAAATGAATTTAACAAGGTGGATGAATACACAGTTAATACAAAGAAAATTCCGGGAAAAAATTCTCATCTCCTGAAGGGGGGGGAATATTGTCTCTATAAACAGTTGGGGCTTTATCCATTGAAGGCTGCAACTAGAAGGTAGCCTGGATAACTTGTTAAATCACACTTCTACAGAACCCAGCTCCCAAAATGACTTAGTAAGTCAGAGTTTGCATTCTAGCAAGTTTTGAAACTTGAGTGCTGTTATTTAATCTGGAGACCCCCCACTGAGAACTGATGAAATTAGAGGCCAAGCATACTTGAGCCTAAAGCAGCTGTGAAGTGGAATTCAAAGGGCTTGGGCACTAGATTGTTGTGCAGGAAAAAATTGGCCCTACAGTCGACCTTTTTACTCTACTGGTTACTTAACTGTTGGTTTTCTCTGTTATACATACTTTGGATTGAATGTTATTGGTAGGTTATTAGGCTTCTGTTGGGTAGCTTGTAGCAAGTTCTTTCTACTCTACCTTGATGTCCAAGTTCAAGAACATTTCAACTGGATTTTTGTGTACTTAAGAAGTTTCTAAATCCATGCCTCAATTTTTCAAGTGTGAAATAGGAAATAACAAGTTGTACCTAGTGGTACAAACTGTAATCTCAGCTACTTGGGAGGGTTTCAGTTCTACCTGTGTTAGACTAGTCCATCTTGTGTAACTTGAAGAGTTTCTCGGGCTGGGAGATGGCTCAGTGGTTAAGAACAGTGAATGTTCTTTCAGAAGACTTGGGTTTGGACCCCAGCACCCACATGGCAGCTAACAACTGTCCATGATTCCAGTTCCAGGGGATCCGACACCCTCATCCCTCTTCTGGCCTCGGGCATTATACAACACGGGTGCAGGCAATACATACACATATTAAAAAGTTGCAATACATAGTAGAATACTTGCCTTTTGTCTCAAAGAAAAAAAAAATTACACTCTAGCAGAGGACCACAGTTTACTAGTTTGGTGTGGCTCCAAGAGATCCATCACTGGCACTGCACTCAGGTACATAAACACATAATTAAAAAATAAGAGCTCAGTGGGTAAAAGGTTCTTACTGCCAACCCTAACCACCCGAGTTCAGTCCTGGGGACCCACATGATGTCCCCTGACTTCCACACATGGAACAAAAGCCAGGAATGGTGGTGCATGCCTTTGATCCTAGCATTTGGGAGGCAGGAGGTAGGTGGATCTCTTGAGTTCGGGGCCAACCTGGTCTACGTAGTGTGTTCAGGACAGCTGGGGCTATAGGGTGAGCCTGTCTCAAAAGGACATAACAGAGTCCTAGGCTAGTCACAGCTACACAGTGAGACCCTGTCTCAAAAATAAAATGTAATTTAGGGGCAAGAGAGATGACTGGCCACTCTGCAGAGGACCCAGGTTTTGTTCCCAGCACCCATATCGCTGCAAACAACTGTTCAACCATAATTTCAGTTCCAGGGGATCTAACATCCTCTTCAGGTCTCTACAGGCATTGCATGCACATGGTGCACTGGCATACCTGCAGGCAATACACTCATAAGATAAAAATTTAGCTCTTCCGGGCATGGTGTTTGCAGGCACTCAGAATGGTCCAGCGTTTGACATACTGCCGTAGGTGTTCCTACAACACAGCCTCTAACAAAACTAGGCTGTCTTGAACCCCTGGTAACAGGATTGTTTACCTTTATACCAAGAAGGTTGGGAAGCCACCAAAATCTGCATGTGCCCTGGCAGACTTTAAAGGGGTTCATGCTATGAGGCCTAAAGTCCTCATGAGATTGTCCAAAACAAACATGTCAGCAGGGCCTATGGTGGTTCTATGTGTAAATGTGTTCATGACAGGATCAAGCGTGCTTTCCTTATTGAGCAGAAAATGGTGAAAGTGTTGAAGGCACAAACAACAGAGTCATAAAGGGAAACAACCATGAGGCTTTTCTAAGTAATAAAAACCACAGCTTCTTGTATGGTTAAAAAATAAAAAATAGGCTGGGCATGGTGGGGTACACCTGTAGTCCCAGTACTTGGGAGGCAGAGGCAGGCGGATCTCTGCATTCAAGGCCAGCCTGGTCTACGTAGTGAGTTCCAGGACAGCTGGGGCTACAGGCAGACCCTGCTTCAAAAAGACAATAAATAAATAAAAATGTAAACCGGGCATGGTGACACAGGCCTTTAACCCCAGCATTTGGAAGGCAGAGGCAGGCAGACAGATCTCTGAGTTCAAGGCCAGTCTGGTCTACAAAGCCAGTACCAGGCCAGCTTGGGGCTATAGGGAGTCCCTGTCTCAAAAAGACAAAAATTAAAATGGCTCAGCAGTTAAGAACACTGGCTGTTCTTGCAAAAGACCCAGGTTCGAATCCCAGCATCCATATGGCACCTAACAACTGTAACTCCAGTTCCAGGGGATCTGATGGCCTCTTCTGTCCTCTGAGGGCATTGTATTACACTGGTACACTTACCTACATGCAGGCAATACACGCATACACATTAAATAGGAGCTGGAGAGATGGCTCAGTGGTTAAGAGCATTGCTCTTGCAGAGAACCCAGGTTCGATTCCCAGCACCCACATAGCAGCTACCAACCATCCTTAACTCTAGTTCCAGGAGAATCCAAAGCCCTCTTCTGACCTCTGAACACACGACGGGTGCGCTCACATACATGCAGGTGATACACTCATACAATAAAAATAAAATATTTAAAAAATAAAATTAAAAAAATTTTTGAAATGTAGTTTATGAAATAAAATCTTGGAAGAAAGAAATAATTGGGTATGGCAATACAAAAAAAAAAAATAAAAGGAAGGAAGAGCAAAGGAATGAACTGGGTGTGGTGACACACATCTTTGATCCTGGCATTTAGGAGCAGAGCCATGTAGCCCCAACTGTCTGGGAACTCATTGGGATCCACCTGCCTCTGCCTCCTCAGTGCTAGGATTAAAGGTGTGCGCCACCATGCCCAGCCCAGGCAGATCTCTTTAAATTTGAGGCCTGCTTTGTCTACAGAGAGAGTTCCAGGCCACAGCCAGTGCTACAAAATAGGACCCTGTCTCAAATCAAATAAAAATGAAGGAAGAAAGAAAAGAGAGAAAAGGAAAAGACTCCTACCGGTTGGTTCATGCTGAAGTTGACTACTGGGGAAGGTTGGAAAGTTGGTTGGGGCCACCATTCCCTCGATTGCTTGTGAGGTGGCTAACCTCAGGCCTTATTACTTTGAAGACTTTGGAAGGCTCAGCCCAGGGGTGGGGCTGTGAGCATGTGAACTCCAGAGGCGGGATTTCACAGAAATGAAAGTGGAAGCAGAGAGCCTTCATGCAGTGTTCAAAAGTTTGTTTCTGACTCTGTTGGAGTTTAAGGAGACCAAAGCCCCTCATAGGAGTTTAGTCCTGGTGGATTCTGACACTTTGTGCCGTACTTGAAGCCTCAGCTTTTGCCAGCCAGGCCTGAGAGCCATGTCCGAGTCCCTGGATGCTGTAAGTAAGGGAGCAGGGGAAGATGTGTCGAAGGGTGGGTGTGTGTCACTGATGGTGATGGTCTTGATTGAGGCCTGCTGTGGGCTGGGAGTCTGCTCAGCTCAGATCTGCTGAAGGGCTGGAGAGACGCTGAGAACTGGGGTTGCCCTCCCCCTGTGGCTGCTCCTTTACCTACTGCCTCAAAGACAAGCATTTTCTCACAATCTGCCTGGCAGGAGCCTGATAATTTTTTGTGTGACTGTGCGGAGTTTTGTTGTTGTTACTGTTTTTATGAGTCTCCCTGTAGCCACAGCTGGCCTGAAGCTTGCTGTGTAGACCAGACTGGCTTCAGTCTTACAGAGATCTGCCTGCCTCTGCCTCTGAGTGCTGAGACTAAAGGCCCAGCCTTTTTTTTTCTTTTTTTAAAAATATTATTTTTATTTTATGTGTATGCGTGTATTGCCTGCATATATGTGAGTGCACCCATGTCGTGCAATGCCCACAGAGGTCTGAAGAGGTGGTCAAATACCCTGGAACTGGAGTTATGGACAGTTAGCTGCCATGTGGGTGCTGGGCATGTGGATGCTACAAACCAAACCTGGGTCCTCTGTGAGGGCAGCCAGTGCTCTAACCACTGAGCCATCTCTCCAGCCCCACAAGATTTTTTTACATAGTAGCTGTCATCGTGTGCTCTCTGAAATCCACTGCCTGGCCCTGGGAAGCTGGATTTAGGTCCCCAGAACCCATATCAGTGCTGGGTGAACCTGAGAGCAAGCTGTACTAACAGCTTTCAGGAGCAGAGGTAGGTGTGGGGGCTAGGCAGACTAGCTATATCAGCAAGTGCTGGGTTCTAATGAGACTGTCTCAGAGGGTAAGGTGGAGAGCTATCAAGGAAGACTCCAGTGGCACCACAGGTGTCCACACAGACACACGCACACACACACGCAAAATATATATAAGAAGATTCGGAGCTGGAGAGATAGGTCAGTGGTTTAGAGCACTGGCTGTTCTTCCAGGGGACCCAGGTTTGGTTTCCAGTACCCACATGGTGGCTCACAACTATCCATAACTCCAGTTCCAGAGGATCTGATGCCCTCTTTTGACTTCTGTGGGCATTGCACAACACAGGCGCTCTTACACACATGCAGGCAGTACACAAATACACATGAAATAGTGAGTTTTCTTTTTTTGGTCTTTTTGAGACAGGGTTTCCTTGTAACTTATTATGCAGACCCAGGCTGGCCTTGAACTCACAGAGATCCGCCTGCCTCTGCCTCCCAAGTGCTGGGATTAAAAGCATGCATCACCACACCCGGCTCGTAGGCCTGAGTATATAACACACATTAGCAACAATGCAACACTTTTCCAATATTTTTCCACCCAGCTGGTTGAATACACAGATGTAGAACTTGTGAATACAGAGGGCCAAATGTATACATACCTGGTATTTCTAGTAGCAAAAAATAAAGCCCAGCAGCACGTAGGCCGTATTCTCGATACTGTACACTGGCATTTTTCTTATGGACTAATTGGACAAAGTGATAGAATAAAGCCACTAGTGTACTATGGGAAATATTATTCTCAATGAAGAAGGTCCAAATGCTCTGGAAGGAGAGGGTAAATCACATAAGCCAATAATTAGAGGAATGGAAAAAGCTTACTTGATTTTCCTAAGTACCTAGTACCTTTCAAAAAAGAGTAATAAAGACTGAATTTAGCTCAGTGCACGCCTAGCATGCATACCACCTTGTGTTTGATCCCTAGTAATGTGTGTGGTTTCCGTATTATGTACGTACACACACACACACACACACACACACACACAAAGAATGCCTGTCTGGGGGAAATATGGGCTGGGGATATTATTCAGTTGTAGAGTGCCTGCCTAGCATGTGTTATGAGGCTCTGAGTTTAATATGCAGTACTGAACAACAACAACAAAAATAAGAGCCAGGCATGGTGGCGAATGCCTTTAATCCCAGCACTGGGGAAGCAGAGTCAGGTGGATCTTTGTGAGTTCAAGGCCAGCCTTGTCTATGTAGTGAATTCCAGGCCAATGGAGCTGAGGCTACGGGAGACCCTGTCTCAAAAAAGACAAAAAAAAAAAGAATAAATAAATAATAGGACCAGCAAGATAGCTCAGCAGATAGAGGTACTTGCTGCACAAGCCTGATGACCTGAGTCTGATCCCTGAGAGCCATGTGAAAGTAGGAGAGAATCAGCTCCACAAAGTTGTCCTCAGATCCTCACACTAGTACCATACCACATGCATGCTGTCACACACATCTTACACACGTGCACACATAATACACATGTGCACATACTAAAAAAAGAATTTCCTGTGAGAAATAAACTATGGGAATTACAGAGTTTGTAAGTTTGAGGCAAATAAAAAGAACTGTACAAACTGAACGTGATGATCCACCTGTAATCTCAGTACTCAGGAGACAGAGGCAGGAAGATTGCTGTAAGTTATGGTCCGACCTGGTCTACATAGGGGAGTGCCAGGCTAGCTAAGGCTACATAGCAAAAAGGAAAGAAAGAAAAACCATAAAGTAATTATATGGATTAGACTAGATGATCATAAATTAATACAGTAAAAACTCACTGCCTAGCATAGCACATACTGAGGGTTCATATGTATTTATTGTTAATAACAGCATAGATGGGTGATGGATATAGTTCATTATAGAGTGCTTGCCTAGTACTAGGCTCTGGGCTTAATCGCCAGCACTGGGGAAAAAAAGTACTATTGCCAACCTTTTAAGAACCACAGTCTTGAGCTGAGCACGGGGGCACACATCTTTAGTCCCAGCACTCAAGAGAGAGAGGCAGGCAGATCTTTGTGAGTTCAAGGCCAGCCTGGTCTACATAGCAAGTTCCAGGACAGCTGGGGCTACAGGGAGACCCTGTCTCAAAAAAGACCAAAT